CAATGAAAAAAATAAAATAAAACAAATAAGAAATGGATTGAAAAGGAAAATATATGACAATTTATAATTGAAGGTCGAAGGTTAAAAACAAACCAAAATTTTATAAAAAAGTCAGGACCAAAATTAAAAGAACAGGGATTGAAATTGAAATTGAAAAACCAAAATAAAAAAGGGCTAACATGCATTTTTTTTGGGGGAGGAGAGAGAAAAAAACCATCTGCGACAAATTATTTATCCTTTACCATTATATTATATCTCTAGGAAAAAAATGTTAGAGCACTTCTAATGTAGCCATGAGAGGTAACATTTAATGATAGGATACAATCATATGTTTCACTTGAAAGATGTGGTCAACATCTACTTACCAGGGAATGTTTTTCACTTGCTAACAATGATTTTCTTTTATTATTTTATATTATTGAAAAACAAATTTTTTTTTGAGTCAACCTAAAATTTTTTTTTTAAAAAAAAAATCATAAAGACAAAGATAAAAATACCCATATAAGAAAGTGTAAAAATTACTTTACCCAGTGGGCATCCTAGTTTTTTGCTATTCATTTTAATAAAATGACCACAATGCCATTGTACAAAGCTTTTTTTTTTTGCATAAAATATTATTTTGGTAATTGTACTATTCAAATAAAATGCAAAAAGATTCTTGTGCATCCCATGATTTTTTCAGATTCAAATATGTCCATATGAAAAAGACCACAATAACTCTAGTGCAAGGTTTTATTTTCATATAGAGAGAGGGGAAATGAGAAAACATTGTGGATTCATTATAGATTTCTATAATGATTTTTCATTTAGTTTAGAGTTTATTATAATAATTATAACTAGTTTGGATATTTTTTATTTGCAAAAGAATGCAAGCTTTTTATTTTTTTAAAATTTTAATTATAAATCAAAAGATCCATGCATGCATTTAATTAAATACATTAAAAACTATCTAAATGCCAGTAAATACAAAAAACAAAGTGTCAACGTGTCTATTTAACCCGCTTTGATATAGGTCAAATATTTTTTCCTAACATGAAAGAATTAATATATAAGTGTTCTTAACATTTTTTTTTGTCACCAAATAAAAAATATAATCATGAATCAAAATGCCGAAGCTTATATATAATTATAAAAGTCAATAAGAACTTGTAAAATCTCAAGCTTATTTTTAACATAACAGAAAAATAAAATAATGTTGTAACTGCTATAATAAAACATCATTTTTTTATTATTTTAATAATAAGTTTTCAAAAAAAAGTGCAAAGACAATTGTTTTTTTTTCAAAAATACAAAAGAATAAAGATAAAAAAAAATAATAGTATGAAATGTAAAGCGATAAATATTCAAAGTGTAAAAAATAAAAAATAATATGTTTTTTAAAAAAAAATTGCAAAAAAAAAATGTCACAAAAGAATAAAGATAAAAAGAAAAATGGTAACAAAAATAATTGGTAAAATTTATAATTATACTATTTCTATAAAAACATCACCATTTCATTTTAGTACCTATATAATAATTACAGGTGAAAGTTGGTTATTTACAACTGCTATTACTCGAAGCCATATGCAAATGAAAAAAAAGTTAAGGTAATCAATTGACTGCTTTAGATTTTTCAAACGAAAATCACAAAAGAATCAATGCCGATGAAATTGCTAATCACAACATCACCTTTTGGATATCAACAATTCAATCCACCCAACCAATTCTTTTACGGCATGGACATTTACTTTGTTTTCATGTTTTAAAGGGGTTATTTTTTTATTTAAATTATTTTTGGATATTTTTATATTGTTTTAATATATTAATATTAAAAATATATTTAAAAATAAAAATATTATTTTAATATATTAAAAAAATCTTTAAAAATTAACTGCATAAAACATTCAATATACAAAACGGACAAAGACAGCAAGCTGTGGGCGGCGTTCTCGTGTAATCGCATTCGTCCACCTATCAGCGGTACACTTCACGCCATCAATCCGGTGCCTTCTCCGAAATTCATTATAGCGAGGTACTATCACCTGCTTTAAAATTTACATGCAATGCCCACGAAGCTATACAAATTGTTTTCAGAAGATAAAATAACGAATAGAAATATTATCACACGAATTTAATTAATTAAACTCTCATTCATTACTAAATTTATTTACATAATCATTTCTAGTAAATAATACTCGTGATATGAAACCGAGTCACGGGCCTTTAACAACGTCGTTCAGAGGGGTCAAGATCTCCCTTCGCAAGCTAATAAACGAAGAAACGGAGCATTTAAGCAACAAAATATGTTGGGGCTTCTTTGGTTTTGGAATATACTTTCTCGTACAGTACAGAGAGGGAGGTCAAAAAATGACCACAATCACAAGGAGGAATGTGTTTAATCTGAGAAAATGACCGCAGAAAGGAAGAATCCAGAACGACAAAAAACAATGGCATAAAGTTTGCATTGGGAGGTGAAAGTCGGTTACGCACTCACAATAAAACATAGAAAAGAAACATGGTGGGGTCCGTCGGCACCCATCATCGCAGTTTTTTATTCATTCACCAAGGCCATCAAGCATGATAGTTACCCTGCTCCCAATTGGAAAAAACCCTCCAGGGCCTTCAACCCTTTACTTGGTGACCTGGTGTTCGTTTCCTGACCGTACACGTGCTCTGCGCTCTGTCATGGTGGGTCCTTGGACAAGGATCTTGTCTGGGGCCAATCATCTACCATTTTGAAAAGGTTGGACGGCGGTTCTATGCTATCCTCTGACTTTGCCTTCCATTAACGTCTAGCTCACCCCGATTATTATTTAAAAAACAAACCATAAATCACTAGTTAATTACTGATTAGGGCTGCCTGGTGCTGCGAGTTAAGGGATTTATTTGCAGTTGGGCTAGGTAGATAGGACTGGGCTTGTGTCGTAGTGGGCTTATATGCTCCCCTGCCTTGCAGTCCGCCCTAATTCAGATCTGGATCAAGGAGGTGGACCAACTACCATTTCAAATTTCAGCTATGTTTTTTGTTTATTGTGTTTAAAAAATATATTTTTAATTTTTTATTATACATTAATTTGTTATGATTTTAGATCATCTTAATTTACAGATGTTAAAAATAAATTTTAAAAAATAAAACAAACATTTTAATGTATTAATTTAAAAAAAAAACAATGGCTACCACAATCTAAAACAAAAAAGAGGGAAGAAGAAGTGGGCTGGAAGAGCTGACAGCCCAACTAAACCCTTGTCCATGAAGCCCAACCGACCCTCCATAAGCCCAACAGGACCCTCCTCCATGTAGACCAGTCAAACCCTCAAATCTAAAAGGCCCATCCGAAGGTGAGAAAGAGAGGAGACGGAAGAAAAGGCCAGCCCAATCGAATCTAGAGGGACAACCCAACAGAACCTTTGGCCTGATCGAGGCCAGGTGGAGAGAAGAAGAAGAAAAGAAGAAAGAGAGAAGGAGAACCCCCGGCCCAACTAAGGCCCGGTGGGGAAAAGAGGAAGAAAAGGAGAAAAAGTAGGAGGAGCAAATAGGCAGCCCGAACAGACTCGTTTCATTCAAAAACCACCGCCTGAATTCCTGGATGCTCTCTTGAAAAACGCAAACCCTATTGTATATTGCTGGCGCCACCCTGGTCCCTCTGGTGAACTCCAACTTTCTCTGCTGTGAGCATCACCCTTTCTGTCGCATTACACTGTTTTAAGGTGTGTTTGATAATATTTATTTATTGTTTGGATGAAATTATTTTATAAAAATTATTTTTAATTAATTTAAAAAAATATATGTTTGATTAAAAGTACGATTGAAATTAAAATTAAATAAAAAATAATTTAATGTGTTTAGTTAAAAATACTTTTGAAATTGAAATTATAAAATAATTTTAAAAAATATTTATATTAATATTAATGATTTTTAATTTAAATATTATAGATTTAACTATTATTATTATATCATGAAATAAATAATACTTTGTATAAAATATTTTCTACTGTTTCATTAAACTATCTGTAATTCTATCACATATAAAATACATCTAACAAGTACTACAGTTTTTATAAATTTTTTAAAAGCGTAACAACATCAAATAAAATATAATTAGGATTGTGATTAAATTCTGTAAATATTACATTATCAAGCGATTTCTATTTAATTTATATAATATCATATTAAATTTTTAATAAAATATAATTAAAAATAAAATATTTTATTTTATTTTATTAAATCAAACTCAATTTAATACATTCTAAATTTCAAACTAGTCTGACCCGACCAGAAGAATCAAACATAACTTAACTGTTCATGGAATTTCTGAGCACAGCAAACAGTACAAAATTACTTCTTCTAAATTTGTGGCATAATCACAATTAATAATGGGACCCTAATAAAAAATTACTTTTAAAATATTACCAAATAATAATATTTATGATTGCGGGTCAACCTCCCGCAATCACAACACCAATAAGCAACTTAATCCTGAGTGCTATCATATCATACTGACTATTGATCTCAATGGCTACTTCCATTGTACAGTCCTATACTGACAAGGTGGAAGCTAGTATTGCAAGACAAAATATAAGCTTCCTCTTCAACTCTTGAAACAGAGAAATATTGTATTTTTGATTTTAATTAAAACAAGTTAGACTGTCCTACTCCTATGTCCTATGCTCTATCTGGAAAATTCTTTCCCAGCACCCTTGACTGTGCTGTTACTCAGTGCATGAAAAAAGCAGATCCTTGATAAAATCAAGGCAACCTTCTTCAAAACATACCAGGTCAATAGTCTACTAGACACGTTATTCGACAGATTCCTGAGTCAAAACGAAACCAAAAGATGGATGATATGATGGGTGATTCCCTGTAAAAAAGAAATAAACAAAAACAAGAATTACAATCCTTGTTATCCTGTATAAATAAAAATCACTGCTTGATCAGTTTGTATTCCACTCAGCAAAACTCATAGCTCCACCCTCTTGTACATTCCTCAAGTCTTCCGAGTTCTGTATCCAAGTATTCCGACATGAATAGTTCCAGCATCCTCACCAAGTTGGGAAAGAAGATGCAGAAGCTAGCTTCTATCAACAGGAAGAGCAACTCACTGCCACGAACAACATGGAATGATGAAAGAACATCTGTGCTTGCTGACAAGGGTCATTTGGTTGTCCACACAATTGATCAAAAGCGCTTCTTAGTTCCATTAGTATATCTTAACAGTGGGATTCTTAGAGCGCTATTTGAATTATCTAAAGATGAGTTTGGGCTGCCAAGTGATGGACCAATCACATTACCATGCGAAGCATTTTTCATGGAGTACATACTCGTGTTAATCCGACGAGGAGCAGATAAAAACCTGGAGAAACCTTTGCTCATGTCAATTTCCACATGCTGTGCCTTATCATATTCTCTCCTGAATGAAGAACCAACAATCCCGCAACTCCATGTCAATACTGATCAATGTGCATATTGAACTCTGTAAATACTCATGTGGAAGTCCTTCAGTGGCATATATGGGATCATTAGTGTATACCTTCACATCTGTGATCCACTTTCGTGCGCTGATTGCCAAAAAAAAGCAAACATGGGCACCTTGCTGAAAGTCCCTCTCAACCACCTATCGCATGGCTTTGTTTCCCATGTATTCTGGCATTAGAAGGCTGCGTTATAAATGGTCTGCCTCTGGCTCTGTGAATGAATAAACAATCCACTTCCACTATCTCCTTCATTGCAGGAAAATAGCGCCTAGCATTTGTAAGACCTATAAGGCTCATTTTATCTTATCTGGAAAACTTTCCCGTTTCATATCATATTAAATACATGTTTATTTTTTGAAAAGTAATTTTTAAAAAATTAATTTTTAAATTTTTTTATGTTTATTTATTATTAAAAAAATTAATCAACAAAAAATATTTTTTGGTTAAAAAATTTAGCTTGGTTTTTAAAAAAATATTTTTCTAAAAAATTTGGATAAAAAATACATTTTGAAAGTTGTAAAAATTTTAAAAATATCATATTATTTACTGATTATATCAAATTTAATTCTCAAACTTTTTATTGCTATATATATATATATATTGTTTTAAATATTTACTTTTTAATTTCATCCATTAGAATATAATTTTTATATTAATTTTGGTCTTTATTTTTATAATTGTTATTTGCTTTTTCTTTATCATCTTTTAATTAAAAATTTTTATCTATTAAATTTGCTTCCCATTCTTTTGATTGTTACTTATTTTATTT